AAAATATATATATATATATATATATATATATATATATATATATATATATATATATATATATATATATATATATCGTCAAATAGTTGTGTGTATGAATAAACAAACGAATCATAAACGTGGTGGAGTCGTGTGTATGAAATGTTGAACGTGTCTTTTCTTATCGTGTGTGTTGTGAAGCACAAAATAAACAGAAGGAGGAACGACGGCAAGTAATAAGTCTCACATTACTTTGACCTGCAATGCGTTTCACATTGCGGGTATGACGAGATCTTATATCCTTTAAGAAAGACAGTGCACATGATGGACGAGCGGATGGTGTGTGAATGCGGTCGTCCTTTCATGTCATTAAGGACATTGAACTCGCACAAAGCGAGAGCATGTCCCTCGTCCACGACTTGAATGAATGATGCCGACGGACACGCAGGGGGCGATAGCCCCGCACGGGAGGATGCTGCACCGGATGACTGTGGGGGGGTAACAACATTGTCAATGAAGAAGTGAATGCGGAACTTGATTGTGGTTCTGAAGAAGAAGATCCACCTGATGTGCGGTCATTCGACACATCGCGCAGGCTCGCTGCAATCATGTTGTCCTCCAGGGGTGGCTTAGGGATGTCGTTGAACGACATCGATGCTCTTTTGTCAGTACTGAGAGATCCAAGATTCTCGCCACAGGAAATCGTATATCGTAATAGCCGTGACTTTTTACGGTGGACGAGCAGCTAGGCAGAGACGAACGGGTGGCAGGTGATAGATCTTAGGAGTGAGGACTGGCCATCAGATGCACATGTCATCATGTGGTACCGAGATTGGCACACAACGTTCACGTCATTGCTCAAAGCAAGGATGAAAAGTATGCAGACGGTGTCGTGCCTTGATGTGCAGCACCTGAAGTACAACAAACAATCAACAGTGCTCGGTCAGGTACCTTGTGGCATCACGTACAGACAGTCATCAGAGCAGAAAAGGGTGTAGATAAAAATGGCAACACACGGTACGTGGTGCCTATTTGTCTGTATTCTGACAAAACACACGTAGATAGACGACAGAAACAGACGGCATATCCATTAATGATGTCAATAGGTGACCATGCACATGATGCGTCTTGCATATCTCCCTGTCCTCTATCACCGCCCACGTGACAAAGGCTGGGTTTTGCAAAGCTCCGCGTTTAGAAAACGCAAAGCCGTCATATTGCACTCAGCACTTTCTGTCGTGTTGCAAGCTGCAAAGCAAGCATCGCATGACGGATTTGTTTATAATGATGAACGGTGGGGAGAGATAACAGTGCACTCATTCCTCTTGAGTTACATTCAAGACTACCCTGAGAGATGTGTCATCGCAACAGTGAAATACGGCGTATGTGCGACATGCACTGTCTCTAAATCAGAGTTTGACGTCATTGCAGACTTCACTAACTGTCGGAGATAATGGAGGCTCAGCTTATTACCCAATTTCATTCAACAAACAATGATGACGTTCGCCGACTAACAAAAACACGATTGTCGGACTTGAACATACACATGCGTGTGAAAGAGAATAATCTGTGGGGATTTTACAAGGTTCCTAACGACGAGAATCCCATGTTTTACTACCACTTGGCTTTGCAACCAGACCGCATGCACACTATCGAGCACTGCATTTTCTTGCACATGTAAGACGCATTTAAAGCAGTTGCATGCGATAAGTTGAGCAACGTCGCACAAAATGATGTGTTGAAGGAGTTGGATGCGAGGTTGCAAATGCTGAGCGAGAGAAGCAATACCACATATCTGCAACTTGTGTTGCCTGTTGCAACAGGTAGCGACTGCTTTTCACGTGAGGGGCGTTTTGAAGCAAAGCAAAACCAGTCGGTCATGACAGTGTGCGTATTCATAGTGCGCAATATAATTCCTGGTACGGTAGGGAAACGAATAACAAATTGTTTCAGAAAACTAATGGATTGTACATTTTGATGTTTCGGTGCACAAAGCATTCGACAAATTCGCTTGACACATGTGACAATCTCATCACAGACTTCATAACAACCCTCAAACAGGTGTTGGGTCATTACCAAACCTCGAACTGGAAACTGCCAAAGTTACATGACCTTCTCCATTTTAGGGCGTGCATCGAACGGTCAGATCTCCCTGACAATTTCGCGGTCGATGAATGGGAGCACCACCACCAGAAGTTTTGCAAGCAGCCTTACCAGTCGTCGAACAAGCGTAAACCTTCCTTTCAAATGGTAAATCACGTTCGACGGTCTATCGCATTTCACGACGACGTGGAATGTGCAAGGAAACGAAGGAAGAGGACGACAGAGAATTGGTCGTCGGTTATGGAGTGCTCGACATGCGGAATGAATACACTAGTTGCACGTGACACAGCAAAGTTGCAACTTCGACTTTTCTCCGACGAGAACATTGGATTACATGAAAACCCCAGAGCAACGGGAACGGGTTCGGCGATACTGAACGACCCCTCGTGCAAGGAGTATTTTCGGTGCTCTTCAGACGTACATGTCAGAAAACGGGTGCAATCCACCGAATGACGACATGTTCATACACACAAGAACTCATCTTGCAATCGCAGCAACTGACGATGGAACAAGCAGGGGTGCACTTGTCCAAACAGCGAGGGCTTCACCCAACTTTCACGGGAGAGCAATATACAGTGATGTTGTTGTGAGGGCACAGTCAGGAAGTACGTGGTATGCATCTGTCGCAATGTTTTTTGGAACGAGGACCTACACAGAAGAAGCGTCTACCACACACAACTGTGCCTTCGTAAAATGGTACAAAGAAGTCGATATAGAGAGATCAGGTATAACAGGTTGCAAGAAATTGAAATGGGAAATGGTAAATGGCATCCACCTCTGCAGTGTCATCTCCGTTGACAGCATAACGAACACTGTCCACATTGTTCCATGCTTTGCAGAACCTCAATGGGGTTCATCGAGATATGCAACACAACGTGAAGACATGTTTTTATTGAACAAATTTGTTGTGTGAGGTGAGGGGTGTGGCAGTCAACAGTCACAATATGGTCGGCTTGCATATTACGTGGCAATGGTCGGAACACCTCTCTCTCTCTCTCTCTCTCTCTCTCTCTCTACCAGCAGTAACTGAGGTACTCTGGCGCGAGCAAAGAATGACAACAAAAAGAAGACGCTCACAAACTCGTGAAATGTTGATGACTTGTTCACAGGGAGAATGTCGCACCTTACGAAGAACAGTAGTGAACGCTCAACAATGGCAACAGACACGAGCATGACGACGCTCAAATGATCAAGAAGGATACGAATGCGAACAACACAGGAGAAGAACGTGGAAGATGATAGCACAACAACAACTAGATTCAGGAGTGATAGCGAAGGAGGAAAAACTATGTCGAGAAAGCAGGAGCATGATGACATAAATTCGGGAATGCAACAGGTCAACAGTGGAGCGAAGATTACAGAGAAGAAGACAACAAGTTCCACGACAAAAGGTGAAGAAGCAGCATGCTCGACACA